TTCCCCCAAAGATCTGCTCACATGTCTTCCCTCCCGCCCGCAGCCCACCTGAAATCTCTGTAAATTATCCCTCACTGTATTTCTGCGCCTGTGCTGTGGACTTCGCTGTTTTTCCCTTCTCCTCCTCTGGAGCGGGTGTCACTGAAGGCAGTTACCCTTCTTCCTGCTGTCCCTTTTCCTGGATGGTGCCTGACTTGTGCTGGTGCTCAGTCAGCATCGAGTGATGAACATGTGGGTATTTTTAAAGTTTACGTTTTTAGAGTGAGTTTTTCCTCCTCTCACCACACCAGGCCAATCTGCTTTATGTTTCTCTTATCTTCTAGACCACCCTGTGCTTTCTATTCCTACTGCCCTTTACTTTGACTGCTTCCAAGTCATCCTTCCTCCTCAGCAAGTAGCCTGAGTGATGTTTGTGAACTGCAATATTATTACAATTCCCAGCCCTTTATTATTGGCCTCTGTCAGTCAGAATGGAGCACTTGTTTAAAAGTACAGGACCCAGGCCCCTTCCTCTACATACAAATCCATCATTTCAAGTGGAGGGCATAGGGGTCATCGTTTTGGGGAAGCAGCCCAGGTGATTCATTGTGTGCGCAGCTGGCCAGTTCTGGCCTGCAAGGTGATGGTGCACAATGCTGTGATCACGTCCCTAGCACCCGCCTGCTCTCCTGCTCTGCGCCTGGCCTCACCACACATCTACCATGGCACTTCCTACTTGGGTCTTCTGGAGTCTCCCTTTATGCAAACACTGTGTTCCTTTCCAGTACTTGGACTTTTCCCCTCTTCTGGAGGATTTCTGTTTTTCTCCTTCAAGGTCCCACTCACTTGTTATCATCTCTGCCTCTTCTCCCACAAGTTAGTTGTGTCTTTGCGTCTGGGTACTTGAATGCCCTCTTGTGGTGTTTCTTACACGTTCCTCGGTTGTGCTGTTTGTGACCTGACTGAACCTACGCAACTGCTCACATTGGAAGCTACAGGTAACCTGTCATCAAATTTTAGTTCTCTTACCTGTGAATTTCTGTTTTTAAATAATTGACTTCAAAAAGGAAAATTTTTAAAACAAAAATTCACTGGTTCACCTTCATGTTGATGCCTTCTAATGCGTGAGATAAACACCTGCAGACTCCAGAGAGGTATCCCAGGCCTCTTCCTTCCGTTTATTCTCAGAGGGAGAAACACAGTTATGGTGTTTCCTATCTTAAGAACATCCTTGAACATGTATATTTTCATATCAGAAGGGAAGAAAAGTAGAATTCAGTTGTTTTGCTTGTGTTGAATAGGTTTTCCCCCATGGGAAGTCGAAGTATTTAAAGTTGGGGTCTCTTTGAGATGGCAGGTTAGGAGCGTGGCCTCCAAGCTACATGTGGGAATTGTGTTGTCTCCTTGTCAGACTTTCTAGTTTGCTGTGATTTATCGATGTTCATTTTTACCCTTTTACAACTGAAATCAGGGACTGCCACCTTTCCTGCTGCTGGCGTTCGTGAGTTCACTGGAAGGTTAAGTGCAGGCTGTGGCACGTGTGTCTCTTCTGCTCCTCCTCGCTCACCTCCAGGGTCCTGAGCCCCTGGGTGGGAGAGGGCACTAGGCAAGGCCAGCATGGTGAGGGCTGCTGTGCTAGCTCATGGTGCTGGGACACAGCGCCTGATGGCCTCTGGAAGCAGAGAGCAGGGAGGAGGTGGTGCGTGGCCCTGCTTCCCCAGCCAGACTCCACCTTCTAGTGGCACTTTCAGCTGCGAACGCAGCCGTGCCCTGATGCTGTAGCAGCGCATGGCCCAGTCACCTTCCAAGGTGAACACTGGGAGATGTTCCAGATCTGAACCGTAACACTGCCCTTACAGACATGCTTAGATGCAGGCAACTGAGCTATGTCAGGATGCAGCCTCGTGTGGTGGTGCATGCCTGTAAACCCAGCACTCAGGAGGCTGAGGCTAGATCATCCAGGTGTCAAGGCCAACCACCAGCCTGAACTATATCTTTGAAACTCTGTTAGTTCAAAACTTTTATTGCATCCCTTTTTAAAAATCTCTCTTGGAATTCTGATGTACCAGCATCCTCACTTGCATTCCATTCTGGGGTACCCGCTCCTCTTCAGTGCACTGGGATACTCTTCCTATCTGCCACGTGCTATCAGCACTGCTCCTTGTTTCGTCCAGGGCCGGGTCGTGGTTAATGCTGTATTCCTTAACTTACAGAGTCAGCCTGCGCTTCTTTCTCTCTGCTTCCCACCTGCCGATGGGCCTTGTGGTCTTCTGCCTTTGACTTCCCTCCCAGCAGTCTAGCTGGGGCTGATTATACACATTGTCAACCAGACCCCCAGCCTCCACCTGCCCAGGCTTTGGGGCACTCATCCTTTTTTGACCTTCGTTCCCTTAACAATTAAGTGAAGGTGAAAGTAAAGGTGTTTACCGCGCCAGCAACTCACAGGAGTTGCTGAGAATGCTTGGCAAATAATAGACACCTAATAAATGTCAGTGGTGAGTGATTCTCAGGTTATTACTCTTGTTAGTTTTTGTTCGTAGAAAATGGGCACTGCTCTTCCTGAAGCACCAGTCAGATGTGTTTCCTACCGTGGCTTACCACTTGCAGCTGCCCAGTGTGGCTCTCTTGTCTCTGGACTCATGGTCCAGCCTCCCTTGACACATGGTCACAGCAGCCACCACCCCTGAGTGGCACTTCTGTCCCCCTTGTGTGCCTGTTCAGATGGCAGTGCCTTGGAACTGGCTTCCCTCATGGTGTCCTAGAATATCATGCCACCCACGGATGCCTGCAACATTATTCAGTTTTCTTTCATAGCACATGAAAAGGTAACTTCCTGCTCCTGAACATTTCGGTACATGTGTTTATCAGACCACATTTTGTAATAAATAGAAGCAAGAGACTTGTCACTTTTCACCATTTTCACCCAAGCTGCGTCCTGGACATAGTCTCAAGACAGATTTGCTAAGTGGATGGGTGGAATGGATGTGGAGAACCAGAGAAGGGTTTCCTTTTCTTCTCAGCACCAGAAGTGCTGGTATCAGGCCATCAGAGGAGCTGCCTTACCTGCTGAGGTGAGATGAGTGTAGGGAGGAGTTTGAGTCAGGTTTTCCTCTCCTTAACTCACCAGGCCTTCCTTAGGTTACTGCGCCTGAGTTAACTCTGACATTAAATCAGTGGCCCTTCTTGTTTTCATCCAAGCCCTGCTGTGAGCCGTTCTTTGGCAGCTGGTGATGGAATCACTTGGGCTAACTGTTCACAGAATAGTCTTACTCTCCCTGTCTCGTTTACTCTCCCCGTCTCGTGCCGTCTCCTGCTCTTGCCAAACCCCAGTGCTAGAAGAAGCCTGTCAGACTGCCTTGAGTTAGAAAAAAGTAAAACATACTGGCAGGTCACCAAGAAATCTGCTCTTACAGGAGCAAGCCAGGGTGCCAGAGGAAACCAGATTTTTTTTTTCTTTTCAGGGATACAGCTTTAAAGCAGGTGTGGTAGTACACACCTACAATCCTAATACTCTGAGAGGCTGAGGCAGGACTGAAGGTTTGAGCCTAGCCTGAGCACATGAAGCTCTGACTAAAAGAAAAAGACTGAGTTTATAGGTCAGTGTGCAGGTACTGAACTTAATCCCTAGAACTGCCAAGGAAAAAGGGTGGAAGTTTAAAGTGCTCCCAAGTCCCTGAGATGGAACCAGCGCCATGGTTTTTCTGATCAGTTGAACATGAATTTTAAAATTTAGCTTTTGTCATTTCTCTTAATATATAATGGATTAATGTTTGATAGATTTATGTGGATTCACTGACTTTAATACACGGAGAAGTAAAGGATTTCAGGAATAACTGGCAACACTGAACATCTTTGTTTTCTTTCCTGGGAGGTTTCGTTTTTGTTTCTGTTTTTGAGACAGAGCCTCATTACGTATCTCAGGCTGGCCTTGAACTCAGTGTGTAGCCTGGGCTGGCCTCAACAGTGATCCCCCTGCCGCAGCCTCTCAAGTGCTAGGATTATAGGCTTGGGAATGTTTTTAAATCAGCCCTGCAGTTTGAGCTGATCCCGAGCGTGCAGGCGAGCAGGATGTAAGTGATGCTGTGCTCTACAGTGTGGTTCCCTCACCCTCTGTGCTTAACACCCAGCAGTCTTTTGAACCTTATTACAGGTTGAGTAAAAACATGTTTGTTTTTTTTTTCCTGGAGGAGGAGTTCACATGCCTGTAATCCCAGCACTGGGGAGGCTGAAGCAGGACTGGTGAGAGTTTAAAGCCAGCCTAGGCTACAAAGTGAGTTTAAGCCCACCCTGCACTACAAAATGAGAGTCTGTCTCCAAAAAAAGGAGTGGATTGGGTTGACACATACTAATTTTTTGTTTAGTCTTTTTTTTTTTTTTTTTTTTTGGTAATCACAATCAGTGAATTAATACTTGGAGCTCACCATCCAAACGTTGCTGATCTTCACTGAGGGTAGAGCTCAGTGGTAGAGCACTTAGATCGCGTGTCTGAGGCTCAGGTTCCAGCCCTGCACTGCAGGTAAGTTAGTGAATGCTGTTCATCCTAGCTGTGATGGCTTTCAGAAAGGCATCAGGTGACGTCTGGGTCTGCTCACCTCTGTGGCACGGGACATGAGTGTTCTGAGCAGGGAGGGAGGAGACTCCATGGAACAGGACAGAAACTATCCTGACCTTGACCATCGAATATGTGCATATCCAGTGATCCCAGCCTTTGCTGTTTCAAGCACAGTGCTGGCTTGTGGCCCCCAGGGACCACAGCAATGCTGCCCCCTGACCTCCAGTGCTCTCCCTTCTGTCCTGCTCAGTGGAATTCCCAGGCCCTGGGATGCCCCCCACCTTTTTGCTTCCTTATAAATGTCAGCATGAAGTAGCTTCTCTTACCTGTCTCGTGATTCCGTTAGAAGAATTTAGGGAACAAATCAGAGCTGCCAAAATTCAGAGCTGTTTTTTTTGGGGTTTTTTTTTTACTGCTGTTCTCTCTTAGGTTCACACATAGACTTTAAAACTCATTGTTGTTATTGCAGGCCATGGTTGCTTGTTACCCAGGCAATGGAACAGGTTATGTTCGCCACGTGGATAATCCAAATGAAGATGGAAGATGTGTGACATGTATATATTATCTAAATAAAGACTGGGATGCCAAGGTAGGCAGCTCGATCGAGCGACTCTTTTCCTCATGGGTTTTCTTTTCTCACAGATATTAAGCTTCATACTTTCTAATACTGAAAAATCAAATTCTCTCAGACTTGTGTCAGGGGTATTGGGGGTGGGTCTTTATAAAATAAACAAGCACTGAGCCTGGCATGGTTGCACACACCAGTAATCTCAGCACTTGGGAGGTGGGAGGCTGAGAAATGAGGATCGCCATGAGTTTGAGGCTAGCCTGGGCTATACACCCAAGTTTTCAGGCTGGTTGGAGCTATACAGCAAGGCCCTGTCTCATAAATACATACATACATACATACATACATAGTAATATATTTAAAAACAAATACAGTACCAACATATGTAAGACAAATAACTAATGTATCATGTACAGAAATGTGAGATACCTGTAGGTAACAATATAGTGTTTTGCACTTAAAAATTTAAGAGCATAGATCTTTTTTTTAATTTATGTATTTGGTACAGGATCTCACTATGTAGCTCAGACTCATAGTGATCCTCCTGTTTTCAGCCTCCCCAGCACTGGGATTACAGGCTTGTACCACCACCCCTGGACTCAGTGGCCAGCGCAGCACGTGGTACTGAAGAGTGTAGGTCTTGTGTTCAGTGTTCTAACCATCAGAGAAAAGGGGAGGGGGACAAAGATGTAGGGAATCTTTGGAAGGTGACAGTGTGCGTTTCATCTTGATTATGGTGATTAATGGTATCACAAGCTTGTGCATAATAATATCCAAGCACAACAAATTATTATAGACATGAAATAGGACTTATTTATTTATTTATTTATTTATTTATTTATTTTGCAGTACTGGGGATTGAACTCAGGACCTTGTGCTTGCCAGGCAAGCACTTATTCTACTGAGCTATCTCCCTGGCCCAGGACCCTTTTTAGTATATCAGTTAATTATACCTCAGTAAAACTATGCTAGTACGGGTATATCAGAAAAACATAAAAATAGATCAGTTATTCCAGATATTGAAGAATTTGTCTGAACTTTTAACTTTTATAAAAAGTGGTTTTATTAACTAATGCTTTTGGTGGAGTAGTTGTTATGGATTCTTTGCTCTTTCATTATTTGGATTTTTTAGAGATGTTGCATGGCCTTGTGTTGCTGACTGTTGAGGCTGGATTCTGTCTTTCTCTAGTTATGGGAAAACTAGAAGTTTATTCACACTGACCAACCCTGCAAAGCTAGTTTACATATACACTGTATGTAATTTCTTGTTTTAAAAATGTGTTCTTTTAATATTAACTAAAGTTTCATTAAATGATTTTTAAATGTATGTCAAGTTTTAATTGCACTGTAGGCTATTTTGACCAATTGTTAGGCTTATTTTTTCTCAGACCTCAAGTACAACATGCATGTGGCATGGGTGAACATAGTGTGTACAGCTGAGGAGATCCTCACAAAGTGAACAAGTGCCAAGTTTTATTCTAAAACTCAAATAACTTAAAATACCACCCCTCCCTCAGTGCACAAGTAGAAACCACCCAAGTCCTAGAGGTCAGAGCGGAACCCTCTAGACGTGTTTGAAGTGAGAAGGCGCTCACAGTGTGCTTTCACGCCCAGAGATCTTCCGTTGTCCTGACACAGTTCATTTGCAGAGAGGTGATCCTCAGGCGTCATACCAACAAGCATGGTTTTTCAGATTCTACAGCTTTTAGAGTTTGAAATAGAGAGAAGTATGGTAATTTACCTTGAGCCCGAGGCATATAACAGTTTGGTATGATTTTAGTTAACACTTTAAAAATTGATTTTATTTATTTTAGAGAGAGGGTCATATATAGTAGAACTCACTATGTGGTCTAAGTTGGCCTTAAACTTGTGGTGATCCTCCTGCCTCAGCCTCCCAAGTGATGGATTACAGGCTTGTGTTACCATTCCCAGCTTAAATTGATTTTTTGAGCCAGGTGTGCTAGTACACATTTGTAATCTCAGCACTCTGGGTACTGAGGCAGAAGTCCATCCCTGGCAATTTAGCAACTTAGCCAGACCCTGTTTCTTTTTTTTTTTTTTTTTTTTTTTCTTTTTCCCCTAATTTTATTGAGAAACAAATAGCAATGAGACAGTTTCAAATCAAATTGGTAGGACAGATTCAATGATTAACACATTGCATACACTCTTCCTAGTGGTTATTTGCTGTACAAGAAGCAGACATGATACCCTATTTACAAACACTATTAGAACAAATCCCTCTATTCATTTAGAGGATGCAACTATATATCTATCCTATCCATTTTGAATACACAGATACAAAATGGACATTAATCTGTATGCCCTTTTTTTGTTTAGTTCTGTCATTTGAATATTATAGATGTGCTAACTCTGATAAGTGTTTTAATATTACCACATTTTTTAGACCCTGTTTCAAAATGAAAAATTTTTAAAGACTAGAGGTGTGGCTTAGTGTGTATGCTTTGGGTTCAGTCCCTTGCACCAAATGAAAAACAACCAAATTGATATTTGGTCAGATTATGTGAGTATCCAGAAAGTCAGAAACATGCTTATCAACTACTCTTTTTGATGTTTTAGGCTTTTTCCAGGCTATTATTTTAGTCACATAGATCTGGATAAGGCCACTTTGGTTTTAAATTAGCACATATAGGGGCTGGGGGGATGGTGAGTAGAATAAGTGCTTGCCTGGCAAGCGCAAGGGCCTGAGTTCAATCCCTGGTTCCACAAACAAAAACAAAACAAAACAAACAAACAAAAAATAAAATAAATTAGCACATAGGCAGAAGTCAGCTCTTGGCGTTTCTATACACAGGGCAGAGAATTTCCCTCGCTGCGTGGCACCAGTGTGTGCAGCACGTGGACTGCCCTGGGCCAGAGCCCTCAGAGGGGCCGCTCCAGGGGCTGCTGCCACCACCTGTGCCGGCTGTTCCACCTGTTAGCACAGACACATGTAGGAAGCCACTGGTGTAGAGGTGGGGAAGGTTTCCAGGGGAAGAACAAAGCGCCAGCCAGCTGACTCTCCTTAAGCGCTGTCCAGGGACACCCTGTGCTTTTCCTGGTAAGGGCTTGGGCGGGGCAGCCTGGAGTCCTTTAGATAGGTGGCGGAGGCCCGGGGACTTGCTGACAACTTGCAATCTGAGGGAGGTGGGCAGGTGTCCAAGAAGCCAGAGTCTGGCACTGCCGGGGACCAGTCCCAGGAACATTCTCACTCACTGGGAGTTCTAGGCAGAGCACAGGCTCCCTGACGTCTGGATCATCTGGATCCTTCTCCTGTGGGCATCTTCCTGCTTAGGAGCTGAGTTACTAGAGGCAAAGAGTGGTGGGCAGATCTTGCCAGCCTCTGTCTCCCAAGACTTTTGAACATAAAGACTGGGTCTCCTGGTTCCTCTGAAGCCCCACCCAGGCCCCAGGGTTCCCAGGGCACCTGTTGTTCTGGCAGCACTGGGATGAGAATGTGAGCTTGTTGAATCTCAATGAGTGGTGTGATGAGGGGAACAGGAACAGTCCTTTGTGTGTGGACTTCAGTCATAAGTGTGGACAGGAGAGCTCTGTACTGTTGAGTATGGTGCTGATGGTGGGGTGAGTGATGAGTGATGGCCCTTTCTGCTCAGTCCCTGAAACGTTTTTTTTTTTTTTTTTTTGGTAGGGGGGAGTGCTATACAGTTCAGGCTGACTTTCTGCTCACTTCATATCCTAGGCTGGCCTTGAACTCATAGCAATCCTCCTTCCTCAGCCTCCCCACTGCTGGGATTACGAGCATTCGTGACTATGTTTTTTTTTCCTTCTGTTTTTTGTTTGTTTGTTTGTTTGTTTGTTTCGGTAAACCCTTTAAATAAAAGGCATTAAGCTCGGGCCAGGAATATAGCTCAGTTGTGCCATTCCTGCCTGGCAAGCATGAGGTCCTGAGCTCAATCGCTGGTATCCCCCAAAAGGGCACTAACATTGTGACTGTCCTGTCACAGGTCTGTTGAACATTAAGGTATGATACAGTGTTTATTCTACACAGTGAGTCACAAACCATTCATCAAGGTAACCTGCCATGTATCCAAGAGAGAGTGAAGTAGGTTATTAGCAGGCCTAAGTAAGATGTAGTGGGTTTTCAGAGTTCTCAAGCGTCATTTATGGACTTTTTAATTCAGACAACATTAGGGGCTGGGGAAATAGCTCAGTATAAGCGCCTGCCTAGCTTTGATCCCTGGGGGAAAAAAATCAGACAATATTTATTTCATTGCTCCAAATCTCTGGAGCAAAATAAGTGAATTTTTCCTTGCATTGGAGCATTGTGTTCCTTTTTGTTTGTTTTTATTTTTATTTTTTTATTTTTATTTTAGGGTTGTTTTGTTGTTTTGAGACAGGATCTCACTATGTAGTTGAGTCTGGCCTTGAATTCACTGTGTGGCCCAAGCCTGTCTCCAACTCAAGATGCTACTCCTACCTCATTCTGCTGTATGCTGGGATTACAAGTGTGCAGCACCTTCTTCAGCTCAAAGCATGTACTTAGAGTAACAACTCACCGTGAGGCTGGGGCAAGGTTCTCAAGTTTGAACTCAGCCTAGGAAATTTGATTTAGTGAGACCTTGTTGCAGGAAAAAAAAGGAGTAAGGACATAGCTCAGTGCAACGGCTCTGGGTTCAATTTTCATGCCTCAGAAAAAGAAGAATATTAACTCTCCTTTATACCTTGTTAATTAATTGAGATATTAATACTCCACCTGAGAATTTGGTAATTAAGGACTGGCCAAATAGCTCAGCAGATTAAAGCGCCTGCAAGCAGGCGCAGAGGCTAGGGGTTTGATCTCTGGGCCTGCTGTGCCAGCCCTGCCACCAGGGTGCGCTGAGACAGGGTGAATGAAACTGGGCATGGTGGCACTCGCCTATAATTCCAGCTCTTGGGAGGCTGTAAACAGGAGAATCACTATGAGTCCAGTCTAGTAGTGAGGCCCTGACCACCCTGTAGACTCTTCCCTAAAATACAGGGGAAAAAAAAAAAAAGAATTTGGTAATTGAAATAGTCTTTTCTTCTCTAAATTGAACCCAGTAGCAGTTTGGGTTGCTCATACTTACAGATTTGGCTCTTTTCCTAGGTAAGTGGAGGTATACTTCGAATATTTCCAGAAGGCAAAGCCCAGTTTGCTGACATTGAACCCAAATTTGATAGACTGCTGTTTTTCTGGTCTGACCGTCGCAACCCTCATGAAGTACAACCAGCATATGCCACAAGGTAATATTTCTTTACATAAACTTGTTAAGTAGATGGGGCCCAGGGGGTTGTAGATTGTACCTGGTGCACTACGTACTTTTTTGTTTCTGGGACAAAGTACCAAATGCTCCCAACCTAAGGAGGCTTTATTTGGCATATGGCTTTAGCATTTAGTCCACGCATGGTTGGCTGGCTCCAGGACAAAAACAGCATGGTGGAAAGGCCTGGCAGAAGACCGCTGCCCACTTCTGTGGCCAAGAAGCAGAGAGAGCAGGGAGCTGGGGACAAGAATGCCCCCTTCCAGGTCACAACCACGGTGACCACCTCCAGCCAGGCCCTACCTCCTAACAGCACTGATGAGTAGAGCAACCCCTGCAATCCAGCCCCCTTCCAAAGCCCAGCCTGAGTGCAGGAGACTAGAAGGGAACTCTAGGGCCCAGACCAGACACCCGGCAACCTACCTGGCGTGGCAGCATGGCAGAGATCACGGGACTGACTGACAGCAGGTTCATGGGACTCTCCATTTGAATGGGTGTCAGTTCCTCAGGTCAGGGCTGAAAGTCTGTGACCTCTCAGCATAGCCGTCTCCACTCAGCCCACCTCTTGGTGCTGTACACCTGTCAGCTGTGTCACGTTTCATGTATTTTCTGTGGGAATAGGAAGATAAAAGAGCAATGTTTAAAAGGTGCTAAGAGGTGGTAATATGAAAAATGGATATAGAGTAGAAACCCAAGGGATAACTGGGGGCAGCAGTGAAGAGAAATAGAGGAAGGAAAAGGAGGAAAGGCTGCCAAGGATGGGGTATTAAGAAGGTCAGCCTGTTCCGGACTCAGCCTCAGCTTTATTAGGCTTCGCTCCAAGGTATGATATTCTAAATTATGATCCTGCCTTCTTTTGAATTTTGCTTTTACCTTTTATAACAACTTGGGATTAAAACTTAGATTGTTAAGACAGAAGGTATTGCCGGCCTTGGGAGGAGCACAAGTGCTTGTCAGCCCACTTGCTACTCACTAGTCTGAGTTAAGAAAAGGCTGGGAATTCTGAGTGTATACTGCAGCACTGGCTGCTGCACCTGGCCAGGGGCCACGGAGGGCCACAGGGTGCGGGCTGAGCAGTGGCTGCATGGGTCCCCACTGGTGGCTGAGGCAGCTCTTGGGCTACACTCTCACCCTCCGCCTTTTCCCTGCCTTCTAAATGGCCACCACCCTAGGTCATAGAGTGGTAGCAGGCTGAGTGGTCGGTCTGTGGCTAGGGGCCTCGGGACTCACCAAGTGCAAAGCAAGGCAACCGGATCAAGTCACACCCTGGGCCATGCTGGGTTCCCCCTTCTCCCCACTGTTTCCCTGGCTACTTCTTACCCAGAAACTACTGCACAGCCCTCCTTAGCATGGAGGCTTGAATCTGGCCCAGTTGTAGCCTTCTGGAGGGAGACATGCTGGTCATTTTGGGGTGGTGAACTAAGGCCAGTGGTGAGGAGGGTGGGCTGGGAAGCTTTGGGCCTTGGGCTGCTGTGGCACATGCCCTGAAGGACTTAGGTGTAGAGGAGCCCATCTGTGTATACCAGACTCTTCTTACTGTGAAGTGAAAGTTTGTGATATGAAAAGATACAGTGTCGTATAGCTGAACCCATCTCCCCCAGTGAGAAAACAGAGGTGGCTCAGTGGCAGGAAAGGTGCTGGCACACTCAGATGAACAGTGGCAGTCAGGGCACCTGCCAGGACCCTGTGTTCCTCAGCAGACCAGACGGGGTGCTGGATCCACTGTGCCCTGGACTCCTAAGTGTGTTGCATGCTTCACCTGGGGCCGCTCACTGCCTCTTCATTTGCCAGTGTTGCTTTTTCCTGTGAACACTGACTGAAACCCACAAGATACTTAGTGAGAGGCCAGCGAGATAGCTCAGTGGTCTAAAGTGCCTGCTTAGGCAAGTGCTCAGGGACCATGGTTCAATCCCCAGTACCACATGCTGTGCTGGCCACAAAAAAAAAAAAAAAAAAAGATATTTAATGAACTACTGTGTTCTTCTGTGGAACCAGCGCCATGGTGCATGCTTCCCCTTTCATGTGCTGGGCACTTTTCCTACTGTTGCACCACCACTCACTGCTTTATGGGAGCTAATAAATCAGGTTACCCTATAGATTTGTGGAGTAAGATGGTCCAAAGAAGTGAAATGATTCAGATAAGTGAAACTTAGACAAACTAAGTATTAGAATAGCATCATCATCGTAATAAAGACTCTATAAACTACTGAGCATTTGACTCTTCCTTGATAATTCCATCTTAGACTAGACACTTATCCTTCCTTGTGACTTATGGTGTCCTCAGAGGCTGCAGGATGCTGGCCTCCCCTTGCTGACGGACCCCAGGGCCACACCTACAGCTTACTGCCTGCCGCTGCTCCTCTGTGGCTTTGCTGTTGATACAGTCTTTTCTCCTCTACTGCCCATTTCTGCGTGAGGAGGACCCAGGCTGAGTAGGTGTTCAGAAAGGCTTGAGGACTGTATAGCATCAGTTTGGGCCTCTCCCCAGCCTATGCCTGCCACTCTGAGGCTGCAGGGGAGAGTTCTTTCTGGGCTCCTTTGCCCTCTGATAGGTTTCCAGCCTGGGTGTGTTGGGGGCATTGGCAGGTTTAAATTCCATCATGACACCAAGTCACTCTCCCTAGTGTGACCGTTCTTATACTATTCTAAATTTTCTTTTAGGTACGCAATAACTGTTTGGTATTTTGATGCAGATGAGCGAGCACGAGCTAAAGTAAAATATCTAACAGGTAAACAGGGTTTGGGGCCAGGGCAGACTGGAACAAAGGTACCCTGCGACCACAAGTTGCTTTCAGAAAACCTAAGACATACGGTCCTTGTCAACTTCAGGTCATAAGCCAGGCTTGGTGGTACATGCCTGTAATTCCAGCATTGGGGAGGCTGAGGAGGCTGAGACTGGAGGATCACCTGGAGTTTGAGGCCAGCCTGGGCTACAAAGTGAGTTCAAGGCCAGCCTGGACTACAAAGTGAGACCCTGTCTTAAAGCATCAAGTACTTCCACATTTCATCAGGTTTCTTACTTTAATTTAAAAAAAAGATTATTCTTAAGTCATCTTCACTGTTACCTTTCACTGTGGAAACTGTCCAAAGATTAGAAAAGTGTGAGACAGAGTCCTGAATAAATTACTCAAATACAAGCTGAGTTGTTCTGTGATTGTCCCCACCAACCACAGGCTCCTGGACTCCCAGGTAAACTGTGGCTTCTGGCTGCCTCCATTGCTCCCAAGAAGGAAGTAACTGTCCTTTCCTTTCTAACCACACATCCTCCAGGAACACATGGACATGGAGAAAATTCACGCACAAGAGATGACTTGAAACGCCCAGGCAGTACCTCAGACAGGCACCCTGAGTCCTCTGGTATGCAGGGGCTCACGCGCAGGGACTGACTGACCCTGTGTGTTCCTCAGCTGATGGGCCACTCACCTGGCTTTCCTTACCCCCGCCTCATCTCTCGATGACTGCTCAGCGTTCATGTTACTGATTCACTCTATTTTCCTAAGCCATTGGCAATCCAGTGTCGGCCTTTTAGCGAAATATAAAATCTGAGTGAGTGTGCATCTCCTGTGTATTGTCAGCCATCATGTGTGCTTTCAGTGACAATGGACACTCGACCACTTTGCAGTAGCCCCAGTTGCTACTGGATGGAAAAGACAAGATTGTTGTCTTTGTAGAGGGCCTAGTTCTGAGGAAGGCACCTACCTGTTGGGAGAAAAGTCAGGGCGGGATAGGCTGTGACACTGTCTCCAGCGCTAGGAACACAGTGGGGCGCAGCGGCGGTCTCGGCTTAGCAAATGAATGTGTGCTTTTCTCTCGCAGGTGAAAAAGGTGTGAGGGTGGAACTCAATAAGCCTTCAGATTCGGTCAGTAAGGACGCCTAGCCTGGCTCGCGGCCCAGCAACACTCCTCACTGAACTCTGGGCGCTGCCTGTCAGCATGTGAACATGAAGGATGGGCAAGGTGGCGGAGGGCCTGGCTGGTGCCCCAGGGCCAGGAGCAGCTTCCCACATCTCAGCGAGCAGAGGACCCATGCGCGGCCACTGGGATCTGGGATGGCTGACAGGAAGAGGAGACGCTCACGAAGGAAAACGGTTTTTCTATCTGGACCTGAAATAAGTGCCCTACATAGAATTTTTTCATTCTTATATTTTGCCAGATCTGTCATCTAGCTGAGTTCATTTCATCTCTTTTTTATATCAAATTTGAATTTGGGGTAATTTTTGTATGATTAGGTACAATATATCAAAACTGAATTGAGAAAAAAATTACAGTATTATTCCTCAAAATAACATCAATCTATTTTTGTAAACTACTTCGTACTATTAAATTTTGCCCTAAAAGATCTCTTACAGTGATTGTTGCCAGTGACTGATGATAATTTTCTTTTGACTTAAAGGAAAGGAGCACTTTAAGAACCAACTGAAACCCCAGATTGTTTTGTCATCCTGTCTTACACTAATTGAATTCTTTAAAGATTGCTGCTGTCATTTTCGACATTGTTAATAATGAAACCTAATAGTAAACCAGTTACTACC